TTATTAGTGGTCTATGATTAGGGGATTGTAGGTCTATGGTCGGGGGATTGTAGGTCTATGGTCGGGGGATTGGAAGTCTATAGTCGGGGGATTGTAGGTCTATGGTCGGGGGGATTGGAAGTCTATAGTCGGGGGATCGTAGGTCTATGGTCGGGGGATTGGAGGTGCAAAGACAGAAAAGTTGCAGAGATGTTTTGCTCCCAGTCACTGTATGTTATGCCAAATCACATCCAATGTGATTCTTGTAGATAGATGGATGGATACTTTATTGATCCCCCGTAGGAAAAATTCAGGATTCAGGATGTGATTCTATTATTGTATAAGCATCAGAAAAGTTCCCATTTTACTTTCAAAGTGCTTGAAAAGTGCTTGAATTTTGCACTTCAAAAGCTCTACCAACCCTGTTTAGTGATTGTGTAGTGATTTATACATTGTTGTAAAAGATAAGATAAGATAAACTTTTTTGTCCCAATGGAAATTTTCTGAAGGATACAGAGTTACAGTAGCCTGGTCGTACCACACCATCGTACAAATTACATTTCGTACTAATAAGAATTGACCAGAGTTTACGGATGGAAAAGACCAGACTAGAACTACACAGATCTGCATGAATGAATAAAAAGTATTAAAAAACATTACAGGAAAGTGCAGTGGTGTTTTGAAGTCTCTGTTTGGTAAATTTAGCATCAAAATAAATAATAGGCCCTGGATATAAATAAAAAAAATAATTAGTTTTAGAGTGCATTCATTAATAGTTATTATTGTTTAAATGTGCCACTGAAGTTGGGACAAAGGGGACAAAAGGACAATAAACGATTTGGGATTTTGCGTGCTCCAAAATGGCCTCTTCCTCTCAGGATGCTGTTTGTGTTTGCATTTGAAAAGCTGAAGCTGGGATAGTATTTCTGTGGGGAAGGCCGGTCTTTTGGCAGGTGATGGCAGCACACCTGGACATGTATGTGCCCAGATGGATGAGGGGCAGAGGCAGCTGTTGGGACGTCCCCTGAGGACAGAGGTGTCGCCAGAGGGGATGCTCCACTCCGGCGTCCTGCAAACACACACACACACACACACACGCACACACAAGGAAAATAGCTATACATCGCTAGGCCGTGACTGACTCCAATACAACTTTAAGCATTACTTTACTGTACTCAGAGAAGCGTTGCTATTTTAATCTCCTTCCTTCATCTGTGTGGCTCCCTGCGTCTGCCTTTTGCTCGCTGCCAACTGCTCATTAGTGCAGTATGTAAATGAAGTGGCGTCGGGCCAGAGGGTCACAGCACAAACTGGAAACAGAATAATAGCACCCTGGTGTAGTTCATGTGGCTGTCCGGGGCAGGTGCAGCAATGTCAGCGACTGCAGTGATACACAAGAGTAGGCGAAGGGACGATACACCGGGTCCATATCGTTATTGAGTCAGTAACACAAGGATCTCTGGTGGTGGCTAAGTTAAAGATACTGTATGACTTCCTTTGCTGAAAGACACATGGACAGAGACCCCCAACTGCTCCCACAAACTGGTTCATGAGGTCAGATCTGCACTGCAAATAGTGATAGAAAATAAGTTAAAAGTATCTTAATTTGAGCACATGTTGGCAGGTTTTATACAAGATTTAGCCACTGGGACAATGAGCGTTAAAAATATGAAATGTCTCAGTTGCAATGAGAAAATATAGCAACAATTCTTAAAATAAAACGTAAACCGAATCTTGTTTTAACAGAATGAGCTCAAGGTCAGAAAAATCAGCAATTTGTGTCTATACATTTTATCATTTTTAGCAGTTTATTGACTAGTTTTGCAAAATTATTTCATGTGAGCAAAAGGAGGAGGACTCAAAATGCAAAATGAAGGACAAAAAAACTCAAAATCCAAAGAAACTTCAGAAAACTAGGAAAAAAACGGAGAAAGACAGAGACAGAGAGAAAGACAATGGACCAGCAACAAGGGGAGAGGAGCACAGGTACATATAGACACAGATACATATAGACACAGAGAGACACAGGTACATATAGACACAGAGACAAAAGTACATAGTGACACAGGTACATAGTGACACAGAGACACAGGTACATAGTGACACAGAGACACAGGTACATAGTGACACAGAGACACAGGTACATAGTGACACAGAGACACAGGTACATATAGACACAGATACACAGGTACACAGAGACACAGGTACATAGTGATACAGAGACACAGGTACATAGTGACACAGAGACATAGGTACATAGTGACACAGAGACACAGGTACATAGTGACACAGAGACACAGGTACATAGTGACACAGAGACATAGGTACATAGTGACACAGAGACACAGGTACATATAGCACAGAGACACAGGTACATACACAGAGACATAGGTACATATACAGAGACACAGGTACATACACAGAGACATAGGTACATACACAGAGACATAGGTACATACACAGAGACATAGGTACATACACAGAGACATAGGTACATATACAGAGACATAGGTACATACACAGAGACATAGGTACATACACAGAGACACAGGTACATAGTGACACAGAGACACAGGTGACACACATTAGGGCGGGGCAGACAATCAAGACAGGGGAACAGGACAGGAAATCAAACTGAAAAAACAAGTATAAAATAACAAAAAATCCACACAATGACAAATCATACATTTGAAATACACTTTGTATTGAATTATAACATTTGGCTCTGGTGACTCTGCTCCAAATCTATATAATGTAAACTCAATCACTAGATATGTACATATGATAACTACAGCTAGCTTAAGATCCTTTTGGTTGGTCTGTATACATAGTTCCCACAGACCAATGAATGTCACATGACCTCCTCGGAGACGCCATCTTTGATGGCACGCTGCTGTGTTTGTGCATTCCATTAAACAGAAGAATGAGAATAAATGTAGATATTCAAACGCAAATTGGAAAAAAAGGGCAACTTTTGAGCAAATAATTGTATATTAATACAATGGCAACACAGTTTAACGTGCTACGGACATGTTTTACATATTTGATCAAATTATGCAGCAAAAATTAACAAGCAATGCAAACATTTCTCAAAAACTTTAGATTTAATACCAGTTGGAGCTCCATTTAATTATTTTAATTATATTAACAATTAATTTAATTAATGCTAATGCCACACGGACACTCTGGATTGCTGTTACTGTTTATTTCCGCGTTTTTGACCGTATGTTTTGGTGAATGGTGGGCAACTGATTTTTCCAGGCGTAAAGAGCAGTTTATTTTATGACACAGATCTTTTTACAGAAGCAATGCTGTTTGTGAACATTGTTTTAGCCCACCATAGAACTATTATTATCTATTTAATACATTTACGTTGCCCTCGAGAGCCTCGGACGCGACACCGATCCTCCTCATAATAAAGTAATCTAACGCTAAATAATGAAACTCTCAAGTTACCAGCTATCAGCATACACAAGTTAGTACTGAGTAAATTACGTCTGTCAACACATTATGAGATACGATACGCACCTGACACAAAGTGCTCCGAGCATATTCTTGCGTGTTTTGAGGGAGTTTCTTGCCTGTTTATCTTCGCAAGCCATAACCTCCGTGGTTGTTCTGACAAAAGCTTAGTCTTCTCACATTCATGAAGTCTAATGATGGGTATACTGTAAAATCCAAGTTTAACGGAACCTCCGGCACGATTTGAACATCCATTGACCCAGCAGGAGACGACCATTTTCAACTTTATCACGACATTAACACGTTTCAGCTTCTTTTTCTATTGTTTTGCCCACAGCATGCCAACACAAATGGCGCCGGGTCGGCAAATCCCCGTATGTAGTGACGTCATGTGGGAACTATGTATTGACTGAAATTCAATACAGAAAAAGAAGAAAGAGAAGGAAAAAAATAATGATAATAATAATAATTCACAATCGTAACTTTGCATATAGTTTTTTGTGATTTTTGCTTTTGTTTTTGGTAAAGAAACTGTACATTGTTATTGGGTGTCCTCAACATATACAACCTGTCTTTTCTTGCCAAACGAGGTCAACTCACTGGGGAACCCTGGTGGCGATGTTGGGTAGTAAGATCAGACTTTTTCCTTCTGTCGTAACATACAATACTAAAAGTGTGCAAAGGGTTAAAGCAGTCACACCCGAACTATTTTACTACAATGTTTATTTTGTTTGTAGACATTATTTTACAGCTGTGGCTATTTTCTTATACTATTTTGACGGATGCAGTCATTTTCCCTTATTTCATTAAACCCAATTGCATTTCGGGTTCAATGTTCAGAGTGGATTTTCTAAAATAAGATGTTTATTTTTCTTGAGAATTAGAATTTAAATGATAAATAACATGCCATTCTTTAGGCTACGTAAAGAATTAGTATTTTTTTTTACCATCAATGCTGCAAGTTCAGAATCTTTCAGGGAGAATTATAAATGGTGATAAAATGTCCATAATTGGCCCACAGCTTGTAAAAACCATAGACCATAATATTAACGGACGTAGTCACGCCTATATCCGCCGCTGGGCAGTTTCAAAATGGCCGCGGGGGCTGGAAATTGTGAAAAAACACATCTGCGCATGCGTCAGCTGCACGAGCCCCATTCATTTAAATGAGTGACTTCTAAAGTCCACAGCGACTAAACTAGAGTGGTCCAAAACACTCCCTCAGCATTGACACACATGTGGAACGGAGCTTTGGGCCAAGAGCCAACTTTTGGACCATCCTGTAAAGACGTTTTTGAGAGGTCTGCCAATGCTATATATTAGCATTGGCTAATTCTTATTCCGGGTCCACCCCCACAGGCCCGGGGTGGTATTGCAGCATGTCAGCACCACCCCCACAGGCCCGGGGTGGTATTGCAGCATGTCAGCGCAAGTCATTTCGGCCACTTTTGAGCCGAAACCCGCCCCCACTGGTAAAACCCCCAAAATACAACTAGACTGTGAGCGATAATCATCATAACTTTAACAAACTTGACTAACTTTGCATGTGATGAGGCTTTCGTCATATATCGGTGATTTACATTTTCAGTGGAATTACAGAAATAGACTTTGTAAGAATATGTATAAATAACAGAATGCATAGAGAATCCATAACCAAAGCGAGAATGTCCAGCGAACACGCATGCCCACAACCCCCTCACATCATGATTTTGTTGATTCACCATTCTGTTCATCTGTGTTGTTCCTTAAGTTTTGCCTCTTGTTTATTTTGTCCATCCGTAAAAAGGCGCCATTATTTCTCCTTCTCCCAGGCCTCGCGAGAGGAGGACGGCCTCGGTGGGAAAGTTCCCCAGCATCACAGCTTTGCTCAGGACACGCCCAGGCTAGTCTTCAAGACAAACAGCGATGTTCTTGTAAGGACCTCATCACTAACTTGGAACTGAATGCCTTTTTCTCACTTTAATGCTTTTATGTTTTCACTCCCATGTCTTTCTCTTGTTCTTCATGACGTCTGGCAGTTAGATTACTAGGTTCATAATTGGGCATCACAAAAAATACATGACAGAAATTGATCACACAAAAACCTAGCATCACGTTCAGTCAGTGTTTTCCTTTCCTGCACAGACGATTCTTTTGTCTTGTCTTTTTTCATATTTCCATCTTCTGTATATTCTCCCAGCGTTTTCTATCCATGTTACTTTTAATTCTTCACTAAATGCATATGATTTATTTTGCTTCTGTGTTCTGAAAGAATGTGTGTGAGGTGTGCATTCTTCTTTCATTTTAGAAATGAAAAAAATGCATTTTTCATTGTTCCAGGTACAAGCACTTTCCCTACAGTCAAAAAAACATAAAAATACATGATTTAAACAATGTAGTTGCTGAATCTTTTAAAGTCAAACTTTAAAAACAAGATTAACCTTAAAAGTGCTAATGTAACTTTTCTGATGGAGAGTCCCCTGTTTCCTGTGTGTTCCTCATTTTAACATAATGCCATATTCCACAGTATTAAATACATTTATATATATATAAATATAAGTCCACCTACTTCGGAGGGCGGCAGTAGCTCAGTTGGTAGAGCGTTGGCCTTTGAGCCAGAAGGTCGTGGGTTCAAGCCCCGCTCAAGACTTTCACCATCGACTCCCACTGACTACTGTCGTTGTGTCCTTGGCAAGACACTTAACCTCTGGGAACACCAGCCACAGTGGGGCGGCGTCGGCTGTAAAGTGCCAAACTGCCGTTGTGTCCTTAGGCAAGACACTTCACCCCCATTGCCTAGAATGAGTCTGGTGTGTGTGTGAATGGTTGGTGGTGGTGGGAGGGGCTGATGGCGCATACTGGTTGCCTCGCTTCTGTCAGTGTGCCCCAGGGCAGCTGTGGCTACAGTAGTAGCTTATCACCACCGTGTATGGAGTGAATGAATAATGACACATGTGAAGCGTCTTTGAGTGTCCAAAAAAGCGCTATATAAAACCGATGCATTATTATTATTACTTTAAGGACATGAAAGTGTTCCATACTGAGGACAAGGGCATCTCAATAGCAGCACATATTTCACAGCCTCCTTCACCAAAGCTGCAAAGAGCATTATTGAATATTTTCTTTTAGTTATAGAATTAGGATTGTTGATGTGTGGTCATAAAGTATATATCTTTTTCCACTCTTGATGTCAGCAATATCTAATTACATTGGATTATAGATAGATAGATACTTCGTTGATCCCTGTAGGAGAAATGCAGGTGTCCAGTAGCAGCAGAAAGACATCCATACAAACAAACAAAACAAATAAATAGATAATTCTAAAAGTAGCTAAAAGTGTTAAAATACAACAGTCCTTCAGGTCACAGCAGCAGAGGTGGAGCCGCTTGGTTCAGACCATTTTCTCTGCTCTGGTCCAAAGAAAAGTGGACTTTTGCCTGATCCACTTGGTTTGGACCATGAATCCTGATTTGACCAGTGCAAAAACCATGAACACTGAACTGCGGCAACGTCTCAGGAAGAAAAAAAGCAAAAAAATAACACTTGCAAAAGACAAAACTGGTCGCTGTCATTTCCAGCGCATCGAAAAGTAAACGAGGATATATTCTACTAGCGTCACATTGGGAACCACTGTATGAAATTAAGTTAGTAATCTTCATTTACAATTGTTATTTTTGGGCATTTGTCTCTGACTCCACACAGAGATGGGAGCGGGGCCAGTACAGGAGGAACATGCCAGACCTAATGTACATGTGTTTAGTGGTAGGGGAAACCGGAGTACCCGGAGGAAACCTACGCAGACACAAGGAGAACAAGCAAATTCCACTCAGAAAGGCCCTGTTCCGACCGGGATTCGAACCCAGGACCTTCTTACTAAGAAGCGAGAGTGCTATCACCGTGCCGCTCAGATGAAAAGTGCATCTGGCCTATCATTAAAAATACCTCCCATTACTCCACTACTGCTATCAATTCTATTCTTCCCACTTATGTCTTCTGTTTTATTTACAAGGGGAAATGAAAAGGTTGTAGATGGATAAATAGGAGCTGCTGCCGGAACAGACAGACAAGCGTTTGGGGAAATAGTGCCGCGCGGCTCTCCCTCATGTCCACTTCAACAACAACTCTCCTCCTCAGCGAGAGATGAGATACAGAGCACTTGACATTCACCTGCTCAATGAGAGGCGCTTTAGTGTCACATCAGGCGGACTGGCCACGGATAAGACCTCCGATAGTTCTGCCTTGTACATGTTTACACACCGCCAGAAAGTAACGCACAATAAGAATGTGTACTCTGGTGGTTGTGGTTGAAAGCTTTTAATAATTAATGTCAGAAATGGTAGCAATGTCTTTTTTCTTTCTTTTTATATACTTGTTTAAAGGAGCAGTGTGTAAAAATCTGGCCAAAAAGTGGTACTGCAGCCTCTCCAAGCCCCGGCGATCCAAGATGGCGCCCTATTCAAATGAATGGTTGTGCTCAGTGGCGCTTTGTGACAGCATGGGGGCTGAAAGATTAGCGGAAGTTGCCTGAAACTCGCAAAGATCTATGGGAAACTCGCCTGTATTTGGGCATCGTCTGGTCCTCCCGGTTCTGCGCAGTGGATGATCTCCCATAATGCGTTGCGCCAAACACGCGTGTGTGGGTCTCACACCGGGTCTCACGCACGTGCACAGAGGGGCTCGGCCGCGCTCTGACCAATCAGAGCAGTTCATCAGAGCGGGAGTTAGAGCGAGAGCCAGACGAGCAGAGTTTGTGGCACTAAAGTGTGGATTTAAACAAAACCAAAGGATTTAAGAAGAAAAAAAGTTCAGGATGACAAGGGACACTAAAATCCCCACAAAATCCGATCTTTATTAAAGCTGTAGGTTCTCTGTCAGCTGAGGTCGAGCTGTTTTAATATGCATTGAGTTCTATGGGGAAAATTTCTGGGTAGCCCACGTGAATTTAGTCTGGTTCAGTCTGCAGTACCGCGAGAATCCCCTGAGCACATGAGTTATTCAGCTACAAGCTGTAATACCCTATCCAGTTATTATAATACATCCATGAGCCTCTCCCACTCTCCCTGACTCAGGTTGCCAGATATTCAGACGAATCCAGCTGGGACCATAACAGCTGAATAGACAAGAGTTTTGTCAACAACAAATCTATAACCAACACCTTTTTCACAAAGATAGAAATCCTAGTTTTATTCCTTGTTTTGTCGTTAATGATTTGAGAATCATAACGAGACCTTTTTTAGTTCTGCGCCACATGGTACTTTACCAGTGAGATTAGCTCCACGCGGTGAGTTCTGGCGCCCGGATCACGGACTTTCTGATTGGTGAAACAGTGGAGGGCGGGACATCAAAAAGTAATTCAGAAATTTAAATATCTCTGAACTACTTTTATCAGTTAAAGAATGATTGGAAAAGGGCATGTTTTATTAAAGCTTTTTGACAGATTAGGGCCTTTTAATGAAGACTTGACATGAAAATCTTACATATTGCTTCATTAATTTGTACTTTTATAGGTGAAACAGAGAAGCTAATTTTTGGGGGTAGCATTAAATAAGCGTTCTTCTAAATAAATAAATACATAAACGAAAACAAACAAATAAATAAATAAACAAGGTCACATGACAATTAAAAACAATAACAATTCCAACTACAGCTGAAAAAATGTCCTTGTTCAAGTGAGCAAACACAGGTACATATAGACAGAGAGACACAGGTACATATAGATACAGAGAGACACAGGTACATATAGACACAGAGAGACACAGGTACATACAGACACAGAGAGACACAGGTACATATAGACACAGAGAGACACAGGTACATATAGACAAAGAGAGACACAGGTACATACAGACACAGAGAGACACAGGTACATATAGACACAGAGAGACACAGGTACATATAGACAGAGAGACACAGGTACATATAGACACAGAGAGACACAGGTACATATAGACACAGAGAGACACAGGTACATATAGATACAGAGAGACACAGGTACATATAGACACAGAGAGACACAGGTACATATAGACACAGAGAGACACAGGTACATATAGACACAGAGAGACACAGGTACATATAGATACAGAGAGACACAGGTACATATAGACACAGAGGGACACAGGTACATACAGACACAGATAGACACAGGTACAACACATTAGGGCGGGGCAGGGGAACAGGACAGGGGGTAAAACGTAAACCGAACCACAGAGAACTGATGTCAAAATAAAACCAGAACCAAAATATCCAAATCCACACCAATCATCTGCAGCTCACATTTAAGATAAAACACAAACTTGTTTTCACATATTTTGAATTACAAAGAGTTTAAGCGACCACAGAACTTATAAAAAGTTTGAAATTGCACATTTGGATTCAAACTTTTTTGCAGATCCTCGGGAGCCAGTCCTAAAGTGGGCGCTCGGACGAAGCACCTGGCTCAGTTTTCAGCGCTTTAATCCTTGTGTTTTTATGGCAGCAATCTGAGAAGTGTCAAAAGAGTCATATATCAACCTGAACGGAGGGAGACACAGGACTGCTGCCTCCCACTCTCTCTGCTTAAGCCTCTCATTTACCAACTGCCTGCACCTCACACTGTCCCTGTGATCTCTGAACCGTGACTCTTCTATGGGCCGCTCATTATCGCTCTCATTTCAAACTCATTATTGTGTTTTTTTTTCTGTAACTGAAAGATTATACAAAAAATCTGGTCAAAAGTGGTACTGCAGCCTCTCCCTGACTCAGGTTGCCAGATATGCAGACGAATCCAGCTGGGACCATAACAGCTGAATAGACAAGAGTTTAGTCAACGACAAATCTATAACCAACACCTTTTTCACTATTATTAGTTCTGTGCCACATGGTACTTTACCAGTGAGATTAGCTCGACGCGGTGAGTTCTGGCGCCCGGATCACAGACTTTCTGATTGGTGAAACGGTGGAGGGCGGGACATTGAAATTAAAACAATAACAAGTTTTAGGGGCTGGAAAAGTATTTTAGAAATTCGAACATCTCTTAACTACTGTTATCAGATAAAGAAGAATTCTAAAAGACCATGTTTTATTAACGCCTTTTGACAGATTAGGGCCCTTTAATGATGACTTGACATAAAAATATTACATATTTCTACTTTTATTCTTTCCACAGCAGGGAAATGTCAGTGTTGCATTACCAGTTACATAACAGTAGGAATGAGCAATAACTCTATACTAAATAAAAATGAAATCTCTAACTCTTGCATACAATAAAACAAGTATAAAATCTCTATCTTTAGCATAATGAATAAAAAAACGTTGACTTTCGCATAATTAAGACGTATAAATGTATTGATGTATACAGTATACACTTTGTAATACACTTTTTAAGCATATTTGGCAGATCAAATATGAAAACGAGAATTGAAATTAGAATTGAGTTTTTTTGTAATATTTTCAAGATTTGATGACAAAATTACAGATACTTGAAATTCTACACTGTTATAAAGTGCAGCAGACCAGACTTTGATATAAAATATTCTAAGTAATTACTATAAACTTCATTTTTCATTGTTATTATTTTTTTGGCTGACAAATAAGTACTAGGGGGTGACAGTAGCTCAGTTGGCAGAGCATTGGCCTTTGGGCCCTGAAGGTCGTGGGTTTGAATCCACCATGAGACCCACTTCACAACTCCCACTGATGTCTGCTGTCGTTGCGTCCTTGGGCAAGACTCTTAACCCCACTTTACCTGAAGCCCCCACTGAAAGATATCACCTCCTGCAGGAGGATCAGTGAGGGGCTGGTGCTCTGTGGACTGGGTACAGCTCTGACTGCCACCCCCCCGACCCAGAAATGGATGTACTATATAACATTATCATAGCAGCCTATACAATACTGATTTTATTGTAAAAAGAGCTTAAGTCGACTGTACACAAGAGGCCCATGGAACCTCTTACGATGTTTTTTTCTGAATTAAGCAACACTATTTACAGTGAATGACTGGGGGACTGCAGATCCCTTTTGAGACTAAACTAAACTAATTTGTCTTGGCATTACAGACAAACGATTAAAATAATAGTACAAATACAAACACCCTTTCTCTTGTAAAAGTTGATGTCATTGTACCACTATGACGTCACACCCAGAGCTGTTTTCTGCCGTTACAACAAAATAATTGCCCAAAAAAATTAGCCTTGGAATTTCTTTCCTGTGAAATGGATTTCTTTACAATCTCATGGCTGTGTTTGCAACTGGTACATTTCAAAACTCCATAGTTATACATGTGTTATAGCGAATTAAAGCTGCACTAACTGACTTTGGGAATTTGAAGCCGCGGACTCGCTGGCCTCTCTCTTTCTGCTCCCCTCCCCGCACCCACGAAGCTATCGCCCCCCAAACACACCCACTGTTGGGACGGAGCTAGTGTCTCTCAATATGGATAATACATGGATATGGATTTGCACGTGGATGGCGTGACCATAGAACGATAGAACCAGGAAGCACGGAGGAACGGGACTTTCTTTTGGATGGCTGTCTCGCTGTGTAAGCAGTAACCGGTGACGAAGACACACGAAGTTTCAGGTTAGCTCCTCGGCTTGTTGTGCTAACTCAGCCGTCTGTGCTAACGGACCTGTAGATTTCTCACGAAAGTGGGGGCTAGTGGTCCGTTGTGATTGGTCACAATCTGCGACCCGAAACACATTCTCTTCCTTGTTTCATCAAAACTCGATCTAAAATATAATGTCACGCCAGCACAAATCTGCGCTAATTATTCTTCAAAAGGACGTATATCCCAATGCACTACATGGACATGGATAGCATTTTCGTAATGAATACGAAAATAAAGTCAGTTAGTGCAGCTTTAAGTATCATTTAATACCTATGTACAGTATCTACAGTGACCTCGGGTGCATGTTTTGAGCATAGCATATTTCAACTCAAAATGTGATCTACCAAATTTAACACATGAAATGACAAATTAATAAGTCTAATTATAATTTGAATGGCCAAAAATGATGCATAACGTTTCTTCTCTGATATATTAATAACAAAAAATAAATATATATTTGAAAAGCGATGTACAAATAACATTAATATTGGTAATGAACATCAGTGTTGACAGGTTACATTTATTCTATACTATCTTAATAATGTCCATCCATCCATCCATTTTCTTCCGCTTTATCCGTTGCCGGGTCGCTTAATGTAAAAAATATAATTCTTGATTCTGAGATTATCCTTATCGCACTGGAAGGCACTGAGTCCTGAGGTGACCGCTCGTGTTTGAAAGCTTTCTAATTGCTGTAAAACAAACATTATACTACACCACCACTGCCGGCGCGGTGACGACGATGAGAATAAATGACCATAATTACAGCGAACTGCAAACATCTGGGAGCGCTATAGTCAGGAGCAAAGTGTGAGAGAAAGCACGACTCCATTAGTGGAACAGGCAGTCAGTTTCAGCTCAAATACTGGCCGGCTAAGTGCCCTCCATCTGTCTTCCCCAAGTTCAAAAATCACCACATTTATTATTGAAAATATCCCGGTCCTGTCGTGATTGAACTGATCTCAGAAGCTCCGTTTGACTTTACGACATCACGGCTCATTGAGGAAGGCGTGGCTCTCTGCAAATGAAGGAACTGAAAGGATATCTAAAGATCTCAGGGTTTTTTGATACAATTTGGTTGCAAGAATTAAATGAATTAATCTAAATTCATCATTCATTCGATTCAAGCCAAATGAGTTTGTTTTGGTATTGACCAGAGGCATTGACGTCACGTGATTGTGCATGAGCTTACAGCGGAAGTAGTGGAAACGAGCATTGCGGTCAGCACTAGATCATGTACGGAATCGGGACGGAAGCGGAAGTAAATATAACAAACTACCTATTCATGCCTAAACTTAATCAGCTATTCCCATAAAATAACCCCAGCCCACCTTAACCCTAACCTTAACCATCTCACTCAGACCACCTTAACCCTAACCTTAACCATCTTACTCAGACCACCTTAACCCTAACCTTAACCATCTTACTCAGACCACCTTAACCCTAACCTTAACCATCTTACTCAGACCACCTTAACCCTAACCTTAACCATCTTACTCAGACACCTAAAACTTAACCAGTCACCACTTAAGGACTTATTAGTCTAAAACCAAATCGAAAGTAGGATTGTTACTTCCGCTTTCGTCCCGATTCCGTATATGATCTAGTGCCGACCCTAGCATTGCGGCGAGAACAAAACGGACTACAGCGGACTTAACTACAACTACGTTATAAGTGAAAGTAGGATAAAAAGACACATTTGACTTTTGTCCTTACCTGTTAGTACAACCAACCACGCTGCAAAAAAATCCCAGTTTTGGTTGCTATTCGGTGAAACATGTTGTTTTGGTCAAGTTTCCGAAGGCTCGCAGTTAGACTTCCGCTGTCTGTCATGAAGAGTGGGCGTGGCCTGGACGGGGTCAATACTATACATACAGCTCAGTTGGGAGACAGGGCATAAATATCTGTTTGAAGTTCATTGAAATACATTTATGATAGAAAAATATCTCTTTATGAAGTGTTTTCGGGGAGTTCCTTGTGGTAAAGGCCTTGCAATAAAACATGTGGTGTGGAACTCTCAAAAACTGAAATACATATAGATTGCTCGTCAAATTCCATTGGCAGATGGAGCTCCTCGAGTTCCTTCTGGACGTGTGCAGATTCACCTGGAATTGGCTGAATTTGGATTTTCACTCCCTCTTTGGAGTTTATACTGATTCAAAACTACTATTGTATAATTCTATTCAAACACATTTCCTTAGTTGTGATATTAATTCGGAATCCCTTCTAAAAAAAGTAGTTCCTGAAAGGCCAAATAGACAATTTAGAGAATCCAAGTGTTTGGGGTAAATTTAAAACAGACAGTGCCTCACAGATAAAACAACTGAGTTCTACCAACGATTTGAGTCAAAAATACAGAGTCCACAAATGTTGCTGCCACCTTATGGTTGCATCCCTGGACTTATTAAGATTCAGCGGGGGGGCTCAAGGGTCCCTGTGATGGATGGATGTCGTTGAGGGGTCTGACAACTGATTAATGCCTTAATTATGTGCCTGCCACTCCTCCTGCACTGAGTGAGGGAGCCGTGTGTGGCCTGACGAGCCGACGCCGTGTTCAGGCATCGCCCACTGCTATCTACTGCACCAGGGTCACATCCATTTACTTTCACAAGAAAAATCTACTCTTTTTGTGCTGAAACGCTGTTTAATGTTGATGAAATACTGCTGCAAAGAGGAGGGACAACTTCTAAATACAGCTCTGTGTAACATACAGAGGTCTGAGGTTCAGTGAGTCAGCATTTTAAATTTCTAAAAACATTAGCACATATGAAACCGTGAGGAAAACTGATCCATTTGGATACTATTTAGTCTGCAGACACTGGGATTTCTTTGGTATTCTGGTTCTAACGTAAAACAAGAATTACTGGTAGTTTCTGGGTCTTTTTTATAATATCTTATAAAGAAGAAATAAATAAGTCGTGAATAAAAAAAAAAAGTATTCACCCTTGGGTTAGAACTTAGCTTGGAACTTGGAATGTTAACGTATAACATCTCAGATGGTATAAAGGTAGATCTGTTTTGTCCCTAAGAAGCTCTTAGTGTGTGTGTCCCGTGCTGATCTAGTTTTATGTGTTGTAGGTGTGTGACTGGTGCAAACACATTCGCCACACAAAGGAGTATCTGGACTTCGGAGCCGGAGAGCGAAGGCTGCAGTTCTGCAGTGCCAAATGTCTCAACCAGTACAAGATGGACATTTTTTACAAAGAGACTCAAGCAGCGCTCCCTGGGGGACTGTGCAACTCGGGACACCCCTCAGCAGGGGACAGTAAAGCCGACTGTGGTGCTGGGATGCAGCTGCTCACCCCAGAGTCCTGGGGCTCACCTCTGGCTGATCTGAGGAGAAAGGCCCCATCACCCGGGGGTCCATCGAGCTCCTCTGTCTTGGGCACGACCACCTCCTCAGTCACATCTCCCTCAGACAGCAGTGCTGTCTGTTCTCCATCCTCCTCTGCTAAAATTCCCACTCCCAGACCACATGAGAGCCCCACCCTTGTGCCACCACCAGTCCCTGCTCTACACCCACCTGTGGGAATGGCTTCTGGCAGCCCCCCTATGGTCATGACCCCTCGGGGCCCCATGCCCCTGACTCTTTTCATGGAGCATCAGATGATGCAGCAGATGCGACCTCCTTTCCTGCGCTCCTCTCATCCCGGAGGACCCAACAGTCCTCTGTCCATCCCTGGCATTGGACCCCCTCCTCCCTCCAGGACTCTGGGTCCTCCGTCCAGCCCCATGCATCGACCACTACTGTCTCCACATGTCCACCCGGGTTCAAACCCTAACCCTGGTATGATGCCCCCTCATCCGGGTATCCCTATGGCAGGCTTCCCTCCATTTCCTCCTGTCAACATGATGCACAATGGTCCAATCCCTCTGCCCCCCATGATGAACTTTGGTATGCCATCTCTGGCCCCTCTCGTGCCCCCACCCACCCTTCTAGTTCCGTATCCGGTCATTGTTCCTCTTCCTGTTCCCATTCCTATTCCTATTCCCATACCAATGAACCCCAAAAGCCCCAGGGACCAACCCGAGAGCAGTGGACATGTGCACCCCAGTCAGTCCACTGAGTCCTCTTCAGGAGGCCCCACCGTAGGAGCCAATGTAGGGGACAGAGAAGACCGGTCTGGAGTGGAGCACTTGTCTCCTGGATGCTCCTCCTCAGAAAAGACTAGGACATCTAAAGGTGACTTCTTTGTGAAGACAGAGGACAATTCAGGGACCTCGTGTATGACTGTCTCCTCCAAGTCAATGGATGGAGTGATCGACCTAACTATGAACCAGAAACAGCATCTTTACAGCACTGCAGTCAGAGAGATTCAGGTGAAAGTGGAGGCAGATTCCAAGTCTCCACCTGCGGAGGGCCAGTGTATGCGGGCAAAAGATTGGGTACAAGTAGCTGCCATGGAGCAGGAAAATAAAGCTAAAATAAAGGAAGGGGGATCTGAAACGCACACACTGGAACCCTCCACTCCTCCTTCCACAAACATTAGCCCCCACCACAACTCTAATCCTCCAGTGAGCCAGCAGAACTCTTATATTTCTAACCTTAGTCTGCAAGCAAGCCGGAGTCAGCTCCACACTCCAGCGCAGGATCAAAGTGGTCCTGCTGCACTCTGTAATGTGATAGTCAATGGGACAGGGTGGCATCCCGTTCTGCCACCTGCCACCTCAGAGTGCCATTCAGCACCAGCCAATGGAGACCTGGAACGGGATGCACTAAAAGAGAACAACTGCTCTGTAACAGGGTGGGAGCCGGGCAAAAGGTCAGGACCAGCTGAGGACTCCAACCTAAAAGAGAGTAAAGGCGACCAAGACTCTAATTTGGAGGAGGGGGAGCATGCATATGCACTTCCCCTGCTGTCCACTGGGGGCTGTGTGGTTATCCAACCAGTGCCAAAGAATGGCACGGACAAAGCCGCCTTCCTCTCCTGCTCCATCAGTGCTCCTCTGTCTGCGACCTGCAGCCCAGAGCTCGAGCCTCCGCTGAAGAGAAGGTGCCTGCGAATCCGCAATCAAAACAAATGAGGTATGACCTGGACCAATACTATCCCAGATTATCACTGCAGGACTTCTCTGGTGGAGGGTCTGACGCCTTCTTGTCATCATAGAGTTGTCAGAGATAACGAGATTCATCTTATGAGCACCATGTGAAAAGATTAACATATCATTTCATAAAAAGTCCCCACCAGAAAAGTCACATAGCACCTGTTTGTTTTCCTCAGAAAATGTAAGGCACTATCTGGGCTCGATAAATTCAGTGATATGAATAAATACAAGACCAATGACGTCTTGTGTTGATTAAATTAACAAAGAACAAAGCCAGAAACGTTATTACATCAAGGTGTTCAAGATTAAAATTGAATCTTGCAATCTCGTTAACTTGTTAATGAAATCAAATCATTGCTCAAGAGCCATTTATGGTGCTTTATGACTGTAATTAGTGATGACAGAGGAAAAAAACTACACTCATCACTACAATATATAATGACAAACATTTCCAGACATTCATTTCTAATGTTTTTTGCTTTATTACATCCCAAATAATAACTCAAACACCACTTGATGATGCGGAGGAAGTGGTGTTTGTATTCACTGTTTATGGTTCTGTGTTTTACAGATGGTTGCTCTTACGACTGCAGTGCCATCAGTGACACTTGATCATTCTCTGACCCTTCAGCTGATCCCAAACACAGATCCATTCTTTATTGCACCCTGTCCCTCCCTCTTTGGTACCAGCACCTCAACGTAACTTTCTACACTCTATCGACGTATGGGGAGAACAAAATAAACCTGGCCTCCACCACTTCACTTCTCCCAGCCCACACTGCCGCTTGCAGCAAAGTTAAATTATAATCATTCCTTTTCACATTGTCCCTCTTTCATAACCAGCAAACTTGATGTCAAATTGCCAGATCCACAAAAACATCTGAGTGTGCAATATATTTTATTAGCTACGCAGGATTAGAGCAAGAATGACAAAATGTTCACCAGCAATTCTCACATATATATTTATGTTTTACTGTGGCATTTACCAGTCGGGAAGTGAGTGGAGCTGTCACCCTAATAAGTCCTGACATCCACACAAAATGTTGTCTGCAGGGTGTGCCTAAGCAGTAAGCCTCGGACTGGCTCTAATAAGGGGGCCCTGCTGCTTAAGAATATTTCAAGCCTGACTGCGTCCGGAAAAAGCCCATGGCATGGCACTATAAAACTCCGCCAATCTACGACAATTTTTACAGCCACAGAGCAAAACTTCACCTTCTATATTATGCATTTGCACTGATGTTCTTGTCATGTTTGAGTTTAAGTCTGAATGCTCTTAAATTATAACGGTACACCTTCTTCCTCTCTTGAATTAAAACTCAGAGCGCAGCAAAAAGCACAATAAAATGCCAAGTTGACTGTATGTGCTAATACTGGTACGGTAATTTGAATGTTTAAAGACGATTGTTGTAGATTAGAGTCATTTATCTGGAGATGAGAAGCCAGTCAAAAATCAGGACATTTTCAGTCTATTTTCAAGCTTCATTGTAGAGGAAAGCAGAATGTTCCACAGTATTTCACGTGATCAATCTTGAAACGAGGACCAGGTGAAGCCACGGGTTGTTGTGTGCACCATTGAACAGTTAGACCAGTAAGTTGTTGATAGTATACTGTTGAACATTCCAGGGCACATCTGTGTGGGCAGATGCACTATGAAGTGAAGGTCCTTTCATACAGTCTCTTTAAGGTCAAAAACAGAGGAAAAAGGAGCATAATTTATTTGCCAAACAAGGCTTAGGTCCTGAAACTGAACTTATTTATAGCTGCCAAAATAATTTGATTTTAAAAAAGCACTTATTATAACAGAAATGCGCTGTTTTGCCAATGTTTTTTTTCTACTTAGTTAAACTTAAATGTTTGTTTTAGAATAAAATCCTAGAAGGAATGAAAACACTTTGGTCTTAAAATGCAAATATTCTGCAGTGTCCGAGTAGAATGTCCAATGGAGTTGGCTCCAATTAGGTTAAGCCAAATGACCATGCAAGTATTATCTACTTAGACCAAAGCATGTATTTATTGTTCCTGGACATATACAAAAGGATCATACTTGAGTAGTATGCTTGTGCCATGCTTGACGCGACCACACCCATCACATCCTCTCTCAGACTAAACACTCAGACTAATCATACTTATGTGTCCGTGTTGAAGGGTGGCAAACCAGGGGTTAATTCTCATGCAATCTTGGACTACTGATAAGTCTTTGCGGTGATAAACAGACTTATTAATCGTGAGCATTCCTTATAGAGATGGACTACAGGCTTGGTCATCAGCCTGAAATATGCAACGTCAACTAACTCCAGGACAAAACGTCCACATACAAGACTTTGTGTTAATCAAAACAACTGAGAAGTTGCCTTAACTCTTGCTTGTATAATCTTTACAGTTAAGACAATGAGAATGAAATGTCCCTTCTTTGTACAACATAAAGCAGAAACAATTTTGTTATCTCGCTAGTGTCAATGTATAGATGATCAGCTTTTCTGTAACTTGTATGGGCTGTCATGTTCTGTTAATGATCTCTCCCCTTTCCTAAGCATTTGTTCTACATTTAACTTGTGGTGGTCTGTCAATCTTTGTGTACATTTTAAAGTATTATTTATTGTTGACAGATTTTTCAAGGTTTGACCTGACCATTCAGTTTCAGTGTAAATGCCCAGTGAACAGTGAAACACTTTTTTAACTGGAGAAAACAATGTTTTGTTTTTCCTAATGAAGTAACATGTACATAATGTGGCCAAATTGCTTTGGGAAATATTCATTTTGTGTTGTAACCATAATTGTTTAATTCAGTAAGTTGCTCATGATGACAAATAAATAAGAGACACAAACCTGCTTCAGTAGAACATGGACTTGTAGTGTGTGTTGAATTCAAATCTTTATTAACAGTAACTGAATACATTTGGTTTATAATTATTATATTAGATGATTTACCTTTAGTTGAAGAGACAATACATTGGTGATGAGTAATGAGAGATTAAGAGGCCAAACAACAACACAAAAATAAATTCATGAATGTAAAACAATCACAAGTATTTATAAATGGTTAAAACTATAACAACATGAAAGTTAAATGAAACAAGGGTCATAATCAGAATTTGGCCTTAATATGAAAACTTTGGATAGATGTATTTATGCATCTTGTTTGTACGCCAACTACTGTAACATAATGCATCGGTCTCTGGCGCCATCTGCTGGTCAAATAGACAAACAGCAGAAAAATAAAAGATCTGAAGTATTATCCTTCATTTCATTTTTCTAAAATCAATAAAGTATTAAAATATGTCTATATATTTTTGTATTAGTCAATTCTACATGAAGACGCTATTGCATGAGTTGCACATTTGGACAAATAGTGGCGTTTACAATACCACACAAGATTAACTGTATAAGTCAAGTTTAAAGGATTCTGTCATATGAGGATTTACCACTTCCGGGTGGATCATCAAGACTATTGGTCCTTCTCATTGTCAATCTTTCTGGTGTTACGTACTCGTCAAATAAGACCAAAGAGTGAGGAGGGCGGTTCTTTCCTAAAATTTGGGGTAATCCTCCTATATATCTTTAAAATAACCCCAACAAAAAGTTAAGCAATGAAGAAAAAAAAAAACACGATTTGGTTGTGACATTTGAAGCGCAGTGGTTTGTGGGTAATGTAGTCCTATCCGTGTTGATGTCAGCGCAGAAGGAGTAGGAGGAGAGATCTCTACTTCTTGACCGTGTAGATGCGCCAGTAAATGACAAAGAAGAACAGCTTACTCTTGGGGACTTACTATTTTGACCTGAAACTACTACTATTATTATTTTTTTTACACAAATTATACCCGCGCAAACCCCCACGAGGGTATCAGGAAGAACGTGTTGGTTATTAAACATTGAGCGCGTCAGAGCGGACATTACGGCTTTTTCAGATGACTAGGGACTGCAGAGGATACTTCACACCAGCGGGATTGAAACACCGTTGGATTATTCTGGATGAACAACAAACCCAGAGTGTTTTCCAAGCGAGGGGAAAGGGGAGGAGAGGGGGATCAGAAAACGCCCTGCTGCTGCTGCTGCTGGTGGTGGTATCTCCCAATTCAAACTTTATCGCCGAGTTTGGAATCAAAAATGAATCTTTTTCCCAACAACAAAACGGCGATAATCCACGTGTGATGCTGTATTAACAAAGCCTCCCAACAGCAAGCTATAACCTGTGCGTGCTTCGCTGGCAAGTTTTTGGGGGAAAAAAGTTGTTGCAAATTTTTGGGGAAAAAAAAGTTGTTGCAAGTTTTTGGGTAAAAAAAAGTTGTTGCAAATTTTTGGGAAAAAAAGTTGTTGCTACTTTTCGGGAATATTTTCTCCTCATTGTGCACACTAGCTATTCCTGTTGTTGGGAGAAGGCGATTTGGGTGGGCTGCAGGAGCCAGGGCTGCAGGATCCAGGACTTCTGAGCTAGGCCCCGGGGCCATTAGCCAGGGACCAAGTTTCTCATGTAGTCCACAGAACTTCAGGTTTGGACCCAGCTCTTCTCACCGCGCTGTCGGACCGTCGCCGTGGCCATGTCTGTGGGCGCAGAAAGAAGGATGGAGACCCGGCTGAAGAAGCTAGAGGACATAATACGTGATCCCAGGTCTGCCATAAACCTGGAAAGTTTGCTGGTAAGTCTAGTGGAAGAGCTCATGGATTATTTATTTACCAAGTCTTGCTGTTGTGTGTGTTCTGTGAAACCTTAGACACGTACGCGCAGTTGGGTTGGGTAAGGCGATTGGTATTTATGGCCATTTTCTCTGAGACAAGGCAAGTTTATATGTATGGCACAATTTATACACAGGGCAACTCAAAATGCTGAACGAAACAAGATGCAAACAGTCACACAATGCATTAAAATCATAAATAATCACAGTGCAAAGATGAATAAATGAATAACATCTCTCATTTGTTTGCACAGCCTATTTTACCTGCGTTTCTAGGAGCTACTCTCACTACAAAAAACGTATGAAAAGTGCCTATCTATTCCATTATTCTGTATTATTATTATTATTTATATAATCTAAACCACCGTCAGATCTCTCTATAGAACAGGCATATGAAGTGGCACATGTGGTTAGACTGTTTAGTGCAGACAGCGCACTTTGGGGGTCCGTGGAGCATGTCTACAGATTAGGATTAACCATTCTGTACGACTGCAGCGTTTTTTGGAAGAGTTTCCGGTTAAATTCCCGCTTCATTGGTCCCAGTGAACCCGGGCCGTCCCACTCTGGGCATCTACACATGCCCTTTCACCCACTCTGGCTTCCTGCACCTAAGGAAATCACAAAACAAACATGCAGGTTGGAATAAATGTCCATTCGGAATGATGTTACAAGCTTGTCACTGTCTGTCAGGCGTTTTTATGTATGTTTATTTTGAGCTATAACATTCCACAACATTACAATAACGAAAGTAAATCAATTTCTAAATTCCTTGAAGAATGTTCCAATGTTTTGTTTCTTTTACCCGCCTTCCATAAACTTACATTCACTTTAAATGTAATGTCATGTAGTAAATGATGTTTCTCATAATATATTTCTTATTAACTATTGTGGTTTTCGTAAGACTGATTCGACATATGCAGCTATAAATGAACATAAGCAATTGTAAGCAATCGGGGTAACAGCTAGCCTTATTTTATTGGATTGGCATGTGCATTTATATATTCTTGAGGACATGGCATGTATAATTGAACCATAATGGGCCCATTTATTTCTATACCATAGCTACAGAACCACAGCAGAAGGTTCCAGTGCCCAAAGGTATTCAGGTCCTCATGAAGACCCCTCTTTAATGGCCTCATCTCGCACTCCCTGCTCCCCCTGAAACTGGTCTTAAAACCATCTCTTTGTCTCTTCCTAGAATCTGGTCGCAGCCCTTTTCTAGCACAGGTGCTGTTTATGGCCTGGACAGAACCGAGCAGCTCGATGTGTTGAGTGTTTCAGACAAAAGTTGAGTGGGAGCATGCGTAGGAGAGTGCAGGCTGCTTTATCCTTTTTTAGCTCCTCTCTTCATGTCACTGAGAGCAGAGTGATGGAAGAATACCTTGGTGATGTTTGGATAGTTCGTCCAAAACAGACAATAATCAAAACAAAAAGCTTGGATTTTATCATGTAATGTGGCACTCTGTTATCCAATGTTTTTTTATTTCTAAAATAGTTTCCACAAGTGAACTTTTCTGAAATGTAATGAGAATGTAGTATGTGACAGAGACAAATGGATTGCACCTGATGACCTTCTTTTACAGAAGCTGCTCTGACTTGAGTAATGTTGCTGTATTTTGCCGGTTAAATCATACAGTTACATTTTCCTCATGCTGCACCTGTTTCATTAAAGTAATCACAGACTCTTTTATAGACTAATACTGTGGATTGAGAGCAAAAAGCATTATTGCTTATATCAGCATTGACAGTAGAGTGACCTGAAGTCTACACACTGAATGTTACTTGGCAGCTTGTGTGCTGACAGAGACTGGACTTTAGCTCAGTACACTGCAGAGGGCAGGTAGCACAAGGGCCACGCTTCCAAGATAAATAAATGTAGACATCTGATTGTAAGATATTATAGCCTACAAGAAATAACCCAATTGTGTAAATGGTGCAAGCACAGGCTCAAAGGTCCCAGGTCCTGACAAGGAAACTTCTTTCACATTTCACTTTCTGACTTGTAGCTGAGCCAGGCACATTAGTTTGTATGAAGTACCTCCAATATTTGAGCCGCACCAATCTGCTCCCTGATAAATGTATGCGTGGCTTGTGCTGTGGGTTGTAGCTGTGCTGCTCCTGAGCCTCCAGTATTAAGCACACATTAGTGTTTCTGCTGCACTCCCCCATCTCCACACTGCAGCAGGCCACGGTCTTGTCTTAATAAATCTACTGCTGCATCTCCAGCTTCTCTTTCCCTCATGTTCATTAGCCCTTATCTGCGAGTGCCCACCCCCAACAGGCAGGAACTTTCCATTCAGAGTTAGTCCTAAAGGAGGCGGGATAGCCCCTGTCTCTCCCTGATAGTTTGCCTTTTTGTGCCTTGTCTCTAGAGTACATTTGAGTTGCTCTGAGGCGAGCTGCAGCAGTCCCAGCCTGAGTGTGCTTGTAGGATAGAAACACTGCCTTATAAGGCACTGGGGACGGTCGCTCCAGCCAATTTTTTTTTTTTTTACAGAACAAGCCGGTCTCCTGCTCCACACCTCTTCTGTGAGACTGCTTTGTGGGCTTTTTATACTTGAATCTGTACTTTAGAAGACACAGTGTCACCTCCTGTCAAGGCCTTAAACTAACGGTTTAGCTCTATATCAAGAAGCAGTGCTGTTCTTTTACGCTTCCTCAAAGATCATATCTTGTGTTAGTAGGAAAGCCAAGGACTTCAGCTATAAATGGTGGGACCAAAAGTACTATTGGATTGTACAAAAACTGCTGTATTTTATAGTCTCATCACAAATTATGTTCGTGTCCAGTGCAGTGGATGCTCCCTGAGATTTGCCTTAATCTAATGGATCTACTTGTCTAAACACATGGGGTGATATAGATGCTGCATATTTGCATAGATTGGTAGAATGTGGAGATTGTTCAGGATTTCTCATCTGTATCTTTTACATTTAAACTACTTTTTAAAACGCTATTATTCTCAAGTTGCAGTTCAAGTGGATTACATGCACTAGATAAATGGAATAATGCCTATAGCTTATGTCGTATATCTACAACACATTGGAACATCTTTCACACCTTTTTAGACCAGGTGAAGCTGTCGGAGCTTAATGATAAATGTTCTTCAGAGGTTTGTCGTATTTTTAGTCAGAGAAGATATCGTGGGATGGCACAGGAGACTCCCACGCTCCATCCATCTGGCTTCATGTTGTTCTTCCATCACAACCTGCTGCTGGTGAAACAAGGCCTCCCCCGCACACACCCACACTCACTACACACTACACACTTTGGTGCACACATGATCACCGCACAAACCTCTTCAAACTCCCATTGATTTTGTTACACTTTCGGAGTGAACAAATATGATGTGCATAATGGTCCCTCGAGTCAATGTACTTCCAGAGCCACTGGGACAACACTCCATCTATTCACTGCTTTCAGAAAATGGATGAACTAAGGCCCTGTGACGTTTCCAGGCTATTAACAGAAACGACCTGGCTCCTAATGCAAATTTCTCAGCGTTCACATGAGGTTGAAAAACTATGTAGTTCTAGCGCCCGGCCAGTAGTGGGCAGAAAAACTTTACAACACGACACACGACCCCCAGTCCCGTGCCCAGCCCCCCCCTCTCGGCAGTGTACTCACTTCCTGTGCCAGACCCTCAGAACGCACCAACATCATTCTGCATTTTAACAGCAGCTGTGAAAATGGGAACTGAACCTAGAGCAACAAAGGAGTAGAATTATCCTCTGTCCCGCGCTGGAAGCCCACGAAGCTAGTTAGTGTGACCGCCGCCATTGTTGTTTATCTTTGTTCTCCGCTACTGCGCATGTCCAAATTTACGTGCGGGTGTGCAGCGTATCTGAGTTGTCCCACTCTGCAGGCTGGATCTGAACACTTACGTTTTCACCCCCCTGGAACACAGTCTTCGTATGAACGGTTGGTAGAAACCGACATCCAACTATACCGTTTTACTGCCACATTGTCTCCGTGTAAAGAAATACCTCTAGATTCTACCTCAGATTGCCTTTGAAATGTGTTAAATAACTGATGCTGTTGTTTGAAGCTCAAACATTGATCACCAGTTGATTCTCAAAATACATTTCCCATGAACTTCTCTACTTCACATGACAACTTCTTATATCCTTTTTAACATGTCCTACTGCACATGTTTTAGTGGCAGAGGAAACCCATAGAGATTCCCTACAGAGGCACGAGGAGAACATGCATACACTGCACAGAATGGAGCTTGCAATTGAAAGCCAGGGTTCACTGCAGCACAGTTTGTCAGAAAAAAATGTCAATATAAATTCCTTAAATACACCCATGCGCCTTTTTGGAGAAGTTGGAGATGGACCGAGTGTGTGTATGAGAGTTGTAGTTGTGCACACTGGGTCTTGCACAGTTATTCCAATGTGGTTTTACTGCAAATGGCAAATAAATGAATCTGAATCTGAGTTTTAACAATTTGAGCTCTGACGCTGTGGGGTAAGATTTGTCAATTGCAACATTTACTATTTCACAGAGTATTGCTGCGGCAGAACTGACAACAGATGAAAGGGTAATGAATAAAGGTAATGTTTGTGTATTAGTGCCGCTTATGATACCACTACTACTTAGGTTTTGGGTTTCATTCCTATGTACACAGTGTCCTCCTTTGCTTTTCTCCTGGCACATTCCTCTGCTGCTTAATCATAATACAGCCCCAGTGCCAGCAGTTCAGAGGCCGCAGGATCATGGGACAAAAATCTGTCGGAGTAAAAGTAAGACATGTTCCGAGCATTCCCTGTGGAGACATCGGCGTTGCTATTTGTGAGCTCTGCAGGATCTGTGTCTTTGTGTCTTTGTGCAGAGTTTATGGGCCCACGCTGGCAGAGGTCCGCCGCTCTGCACAGCCCACCTCTTATCCTATAACTATTTTTAAAACGACAGGAATTCAATCAAAACATACGGACGCTGCGCAATCCTTTTAAAGGCCGCTGCCC